GTTAGTCGGTTTTTTTGGTCGATTTTTACCGGATTTCTAGTATTTTAGGTGTCAGAAAGGCATACCGACCAAAGTTGGTCGGAAGAGTTCTCCAATGGCGAATTCCGGGTAATGGCAGCGTGTATAGGCACTCAGTTTGCTCATTTAAATTTATTTATTTTTAAATCATATCCTTCCACGTGGACCAATAAAAAAGTGCCACATAGATCTCTATAAAGGCTTACATAGAGTCAATTGTTAATCTTAGAGACATTTTTGAGCTAAAATATAACATTATGGGCATTTGTGATTCTATAGGCGAAAGAAGGATATTTTTAAGCCAAATCCAATAGGATAGGGGCATGTTTGGTCCTTTTCCGTATAAAATAGTAATTGGGGTCATATTTCATTATATGATGTAACATTCTCTAATATTAACTGCATTCAATCATCGTCCATGTCATCACCTTTTCATTTATTTATTTTCACTGCATAAAAGAGTTGAAGAAATATAAGTGGGGAAGGAGAATGGCAGTGGAACTGTAACTCCACACACATTATGTGGGAGACTCACACAAGCCCACTAGATATCTAGATTGGGAGTCATGTTATTGTTTTCTCCTTTAGTTTAAGTTTTATTTTGAAGAAATATTAAAGAGACATTCTTACTACTTAAACGAAGTCTTTGATCTTGCTCTCTACTTGTTTTTACTCCTCGATGAAATGATCATTTTCCTTATTAGAATGTGGTGTTATTGGAAATTAGCTTCTATATGGACTTGATTATTTAGTTCTATAAAACAGCCTAAACAAATATATTTTGTAGTATGACTTGGATTGTTTATCCGTTGGAGGGTATGAATCATTTCATGTAGTAATGTGGGTTTGGTAGCAAAGTGGCCTTGCTGTAAACATATGAGTCATATCCAAACATTTATAATTACCCCATTGAAACTGTGTTAGAGAAGATGAAGATACAGAATAGCTATATGCAATGTCGACTAGAACTCTTTAGCATTAATGAACAAGACAATTTAAGAGGTGTCTTGCTTTTCTTTTATGGTATTTTTCCATTTATGCAACCATCTTGGATTTATTATAAATTAACTTACGGTTGATACATATATTATGTCAAATCAAATAGTTTATCAACCATACAACTACAGCATACCATAATGTAATCCCACAGGTGGAATCTGAGGAAAGTGGAGTGTACGCAGACCTTACCCCCATTTTGTGTGTGGTAGAGATGTTATTTTTGATAGACCCTCAGATCAAAAAAAGCATTTTTAAAACAGGTTTGAAAAATACAAGAGTAAAAAGATTATGATAAAAATACTGAAGAAAAGAGAAGTATTGACAGCAAAAAGAATAAAGATAATCAAAGTAAAAGAAACAATAATAATAATAATAATAATAATAATAATAATAATAATAATAATAATAATAATAATAATAATAATAATAATAATAATAATAATAATAATAATATTTACCTACTACTCTTCTACCCTAATACCATACTTGTTGTTCTCTTTGTTTTTTAGGTATCCGGTATTTGAAACTCATTAACCTAATAAATTTGTTCATAATAGGCACACCAAGGAGGCAACGCACTATCTACCAAAAGATTCTTTATTCTCGAACTCGAGACCTCTGGTTAAATTTGTTAAATCGGAAGAATCCCAACTATCTTACAACACCTCTTGTTCTATTATCACCAGATTTTGGATATGACTATATGAGTTTGCTCACGACATTCCATGTATGCATAAATTCAGATTTCTTATGTATGGTAGAATTAATTGCATACTCTAAATGCGTTCGGAAACTTTACTTCGCTTATCCTACTTATAAATTTTTGACTCATCGTCCACTTTGGTTCAAGGTACATGACTCTTTAATATAAAAATTAATCAGTGGTGCAATTTCCATTCTTAGACGGTGCCCCTGAAAGCGGTTAGCTCGTGGCATTTCTATTTATTTTTTAGAAAATTATAGGAATAGCCACAAATAGACACTACTTACCATCGATTAGTCATTAATTCATGCTATCAAAAATAGCCTTAAAAAGTAACCAGTGATATGGGTATAGTTGGAATTCGTTGAAAACACATAAGTGAGGCAGTATAGAAAATTTGAGAGAGATTCGAGGTGATTTTGATGAAGTTTGAGTCAAAATTCATTACAATAATATATAATATTTTATAAAAAAACTCGAGAAAAAAAAATTATAATGTGTGTGGTTGAAATTAGTTGAAAGCACATAGATGAGGTAATATACAGAATTTGAGGAAGATTGGAGGTGATTTGGACTGGTTAGGAGTCAATTCGTAATTGCAACCGAGTTTAAAATTTCCTCTGCGACATATGTGTCTAACATGTATCTCACATGTACCTCAAACACAAACATATATGGATATACGTGAGATACACAAATGATATATAAGATGATACACAGTGTGATACATATGTCATTTTCTTCAATGTTCATCTTATACTTCAAATTTTTAGTTCAAACCACCTCATATTTCTACCAAAGTGTCCTAAATTTGAGATTAAAACTCCTTGAAATGTACTCAACATAATTCAATAACACCCCATCGAAATAAATCATAATTATATAAATTTTAATTTTTTTCAAACTCCAAGTTTCGCTTTTAATGGAGTTTAGTAGAATAAAAAAAGTCAATAATGTCTTAACGTGAGAATGAAGATGTCGACTCCTTCGGTTTAAAGTTCAAATTAATTTTACTTTGGGGTCATAACTTTGATCCACGTGGAAGCACTTTAATTTGCCCATCATTTGGACCAATAAGTCTTCAAAGCTAGATTTAATTAATTCAATCGAAAGAAGAAATAAGGTCGGTTGATATATTTCAGGACTTATATTAATTAGATTGTATTAAAAGAGATGGAGAAGCAGAGAACGAAGCACAGGAGCAAGGAAGGTCTTTAGCCACTTTGTAACAAAAATAAGATTTAATGCCACATTTGGTAGCATTTTATGAGTAATTGCTTATATTGGTAGAATTTCATGAATTGGCTAATATTGATAGCATTTTTGCTCTAAAAGGCAAAATTGACTAGTTTGCTCTTTATTTTTGCACCGAATTTGCTTCGACAAAACATCGTTTAGACGATATGTGTTGGGCCGAAATATTAGGTGACCAGGCCCTGAAACGAGAATATTGAAATAGTTAAACAGTAAGGCACAAACACTACCTTAGACTTGGGATTTACACCAGATTTAAATTATATGGCCATTTGCTATTACTTTATCGAAGTACCCTTTGCATTGCTCACATAATCACATTATTGTAAACGTCTGGTGACATAAAATTACGCAGCAAACAAGGCTCGATGCAATTAGTGGTGGCAAATGTGCGGGTTGGATCGGATTTAGGCGTGTTAAAAATGGGTTGGATCTCAACCCGTTCATATTTCATGCGGGTCAAAAATGAGTTGGGTGTCAAATGGACGAGTTGAATATGGGTTAACCCATATTATATAAGTGGAAAAAAATTCAACTGCAATTTATAATTTTTCTTTTGCTCAGATTATTTAGTGACATATTAGCTTAACTTGAATAATATATACTCTTCTTCATTAAATTTATTCAAATTTGACTATCATATTGTAAACTTAAGTTACTCTTACACAAAATATGACAGTGCTCATTTTAGGAAGAAAATGTGCTTAATGCACATCAAGCAATATCACTAATAATATATGACTCTGTGCATTTTTCACTTTGTTCATATATTTTCTGCAATCTAATATAAAACTAAACAAATTCAAAAAAAAATACTATAAATAGAAAGATACTATTTATATTCAAAAAATTCACTAATAATATATGACTCTGTACAAATTCAACGTTGAAATATGTGCTCCATAACTAAAAAGAAAATACGATTTTTTTGGTTGAAAAGAAAGTACTCTTTCAACAATATGAACAGAAAATACTCATTTTGTTGAAATGAAAAAAAAATTATTTTTCTACATCACGAAAAGAAAGTACTTTTTGTTGAAATGAAAGAATTTTTTTTTGTACATCATGAAAAAAAATACTCATTTTGTTAAAATGAAAAAGAAAGTATTCTTAATAATATTTCTATTGAGTTGGGTGGGGGTGGGGTGGGTAGGGTAGTTTTGGGGGTTGGAGTAGGTGGGGGTGCAGGGGTTGAGTTAGTGGGGATGGGAAATAGGGTTGAGAAGATTGAAAAAGTTTTTTGGAAAATATTTTCCCTTCTCTTGATAAGGAAAATATTTTCCTCCAATTGGAGAAAAATATTTTCCAAAACATTTAAGCCAACCAAACATAGAAAAATTAAAAAATATTTTCTGAAAATATTTTCTTTCATACCAAAACACACCCTTAATGTACTCTTGAGTACCTCTTTATCGAAAGTGATGTATTACAAGTGGGATAAAATATTCTCTTTCTGAACATATACTCAAGAACAAATGAAAAACTATACAAATTTGCTTCTACTTAAACTATTTTTGGTATTCAGTATGCATCTAGAAAGAAAAAGGACGCTAAACAATATTAAACAGTACTTACAATGTTTAGAAGGGAAAAAAACACTCACATAGTCAACTATAGTGAGAAGAAACATACGAAGAAAAAGGAGTTGGAATACCTTTATAGTATTTTCAGTTTAAAAAATGATATCATGTATTTTGAGTAAGCAAAACATGAATACCCATATTTCTACGGGTTGAATATGGGTTGAAGCCCAAATTTTACCCACCTTAAATATCACTCATCCAACCCACTAAAATATGGACGGATTGGGCGGGTTGACAAAATATGGGCTCATTCTGCCAGCACCAAATACAATTTTCGTTGGCTAAGATTCATATTGCTTGGTCTCTAGCCTTATGTTGTAGGAGATGAGAGCTGTCATTCTTGAAACTAAACCAAGCACCTTATATCAAACATGGATGGCAAGAAGAACTTCTAGTGTTAGAGAAACAAAAATTTTATAACATTGAACCAAGACGACCTTAAATTGAGCGACATGAACAGTGAGAATTCATATAACCACTCCAACTTGCATAAGCCAGAGGCATAGTTGTTGTAGATTATATCAAACATGAACTACAGATAAGGTCAACACCTGGCTGGTCAATCATCACTACCAGCTAAATTTCAGGAAATTTGAGATGGTCATTGGATCACATTTATCTGAAAGAAAATAACTGAAGGAATGATGATTCTGTACTGAGTGTCAGCATTTTGATCAATACAATTATAATAGCAAGCAAGATATAAGTCTTACTATACCGACACCAACTTTGTTGTGCTTGGTTATGCACTCCCTGACGAGCTGCCTTCTGTCTTTTGCTCCCAGATATGCTGGTTCGAGTCCAGCTCGTGAAAGAGTTTGTGAGTATACCTCGGGATTTTATTAATATGCCTCCTTTGACTTATCTCAGCGTTCATTTAACCAAAACCAACATAATATGAGAAGTTAAAAGAAAAAACCTACATCTTCAAGTAAAAGGCGAGCTAAATTTGTCTAATCAGTAACGCCGAGAGAAACCTTCAATTTACCAACCAGATGTGGCAATGTCTTAATGCTGTCTTGAACAGATTGGTCTACGCATGATTCCACAACCTTTGTGGCATCACTGTTCTTCTGGAGTTTGGCAGTCTCATACTTGTCTTGGCAGACCCTTAGAGACCTATTCATCTTTTCCTGCGCCCATACATTCAGAAACACTATCAAAATGCTTGCTCAAATAACGAATTAATAAACCAATTGTCAGGGCAATTAATAATGCTGCAGACCTTTTTTATCAGCAAAATATCACACGACAATAAATCTGCTAAATCTCCTCAGTTAAGATTATAAACATCAGTGTCACATTATAAATAACATCCCCCTCCCGTGGAGATAGGAGGAGGGATACAGGGTGGGCAGGGGAATAATGGCTAGGTCAAGGACAGGAGTTAATTGGACGAATAAATTATGGAGAAACAGACCAAAAGCAGGAACGGATCAGTCAGCAACTTTTACAAGGCTAGCCACCCACTTTTTGTAATATCAAAATCAGGAGAAAGTTGCCAATTCAACCAGAACATTCATGCTAATATAAATGGTGCCAATTTAGAAGCTATAGCATGCCCTAAATCTCCTAAAGGACACGAAAATCATCACATGAGGGTGAATTGATTTTTTTTTTCAGAGCCAATATACTACTGAGATCCGTCTATATTTCATTGCAGTAACTTTGTTTTACAGAAATCAAATGATCAAGAGAAGAAAAGTAGATATATGTCAACGAGCAGGCAAAAGAGAGAATATAAGACAGACAATATACTTTATTTTAAAAGGAGATGAAGAAGACACTAGCATCAAGAATAGCTCTTTTTTCTTTTCTTTTCTTTTTTTTTTGATAAATAAATAGCATCAAGAATCCTTCTTTTTTTATCGGTAATATAGCATCAAGAATCCTTATAAGGGTTACTTCAAACTTTGTCTATCGCTGACAATAAGATATGAAAAAACAAGAGCAAATTCCACTTAACCCCCTTAACCTTAAACGGTTGGGAAACAATACCTCCTTCACCTTTTGAATGGGAACAACAAACCCCTTAAACAATATTTTCCGGTGAACTTTAAAATTCATGGTTGTCTTTTTGTTACCAAAATATTATTTTAATGAATGCATGCGCCATCTCAACCCAACACACCCTCAATTTCAGAATTGAAGTAAGCTTCTGGTGAACTTTTATCATGAATATTACAACTATTGCAGGTTGTGTTTAGGTTCAACTTTTAGTTGGCTAAAATGACATTACAATCAGAATAAAGAAACCTCTATTCTTCTTTTTTTCTCTTTTCTTCCATATTTGTTGAGAAGCTACTCTATATATAGAATGAGATATTTCCTCCAGGAAGTCTCATGTTCTTCAAATAGGCGTGGAAGTAACATTTATGCTTGATGACATACTCAACATCTAGCTTGATAATATTGAAACCCCATCAACGTCAATTCCAACAGAACAAAAAACAGCCCTTTGTTGATGGCGTGAGCGAGGAAGTCTTCGGTGCTTCAACATCGTAAGAAACGCTTATAAGACTCACACAGTTGCACTATTCTCAGTGGAGAGAACTTTCAGAGTGAAAATTTAAATCAGAGTTAGGCTTGGGACATTTTCCTTTGTTTATTAAACCTTTAAATTAATAAATTAAAAAGACAAGCATGCTTTTTTTTCTTGTTTAAAATTTTAAAGCTTACCGGAAATGTTGTTCAAGGGGATTGCCGTTCTCATTCAAAAGGTGAAGGGGTATTGTTTCCTAACTATTAAAGGTTAAGGGGGTTAAGTGGAATTTACTCAAAAAACAAGTGAAAAGGAAAGGCAAGACTGAAACAAAATATGCAAGTAATTTTGGATTGGTCTTAAAGTTCAAATTATTCATATTTCTTGCATTAGATTATAAGCATCTAACTAATTTCAGTTGAACTATTCTACTAATTTTATATCTTCACGAAGGACTTGTCAATTTACATATTGCAATGCAATATATGTCATATGTCACTAGTCGTAAAGAGTCATATGTCACTAGTCGTAAAGATATAGTTGACAAGTTAACCTTTTTTTTTTATTGAGAACAGCTAACAGTTGGATTTTTTATTCCGGGGGGCGGGGGCTTTGGGCGTGATGTGCATGTTAAGGACATGAAGACACTTGATCTTTTCTCTGGATAAATTCAATCATAAGAAAATAAATTAGGGTTTCAATTTTCAAGTGAATAATTTGAAGCCCTTTGATAATGTTCCCAAAAAGTTGAAAGGCTCTTGATTCTAAGTTCTAACAACCATTTATTTTCAAATGACAAGCGCAGAGTAGCTTTTGCTTTGCTCTTCTGAATAGAGATATCAATTCTTACTAAAAGAAGAAATAAAGGACCAAATATGGGCATTATAGAACAACTACATCTTCATAAAGCTTCAGTTATAAGCAAGTAAAGAGATATCAATTCTGAAAAGAGATATCAATTCTTACTAAAAGAAGAAATAAAGGACCAAATATGGGCATTATAGAACAACTACATCTTCATAAATCTTCAGTTATAAGCAAGTAAAGCAACTGTTTTTGGATCAACTGTTTTCTTTTTTCTTTTCAATAAGCAAAAAGAGGACAAACCTGTATTGCACATCAGGGACACAACCTAAAATGATTTGAGCACTCTTTACAAAATAAAAGGAAGACAGATTTGATCCATGTGCAAGCCCATTGTAAACACAAATTACTATCCAACCCAAAAAGAAAAAGGGAACAAATGAACACATAAGCACCCCACTCTGAACTTACAATACAAAACTTGCAATGCAAAATTCCTTTCCAATTGGTTTAGACCAATTTCTACTGAGTGTGTTTGGTACAGCAAATAATATTTTCCAACAAAATGAAGAAAATGACTTCCGTCACTATGAATGGAAGTCATATTCCTTTACTGATGCTTCAATTCCTACTCTATATCACTTGTTTCAACCAACACATTGATGTTGTCATTAACCTTTATTACTCAAAAATGTCAGCAGAATATTCCTATACCATATCATTCACTTTGTTGATTACCATATGTATCTACTTTGGTACCTAATTGAAAAACACTAGAAAATGATCCCCAGAATATATTTTACCTCATGTCAAACACTTCCGAATCCAACTCCATTGTATAATTTATGGAGCTTAATTGTCTTCCATGTTCATTTTCCATTTCCCTAACTTCTTCGACAACAACTATGCCTCAATCCCTAGTAAGATGGGGTGATTATATCAATCTACACCAATCATCTTTCTCTATCTCCCTAATTTCTCTTATGTTCGTATAGAAGAAACTATATTACTAACCAACAGCAATGACAATATTGAAACTCATTTCAAATATTGAAGAAAGCAAAAATCCAGGTCCACCCC